GATGCCATGCACGTCCATCAAAACTTCAATCTCCTGCTCCAAGTTGCGCGCCACGGGGTCCGCCACGCCGTCGCGAAGAGGCGCGGGGCCGAGAGGCGCACCGCCCTCCATCGCGACTGAGTGGGGGGCTCAGGAAGCGCGGAAGTTGGAGCGATTGCGTTTTGAACAGAGAAGGCTGATAACCTGTGTGAGGGGGAGGGGGACCGAAGGACCGAACCCACCCCCCCAAAGTGTCCGTAGGTAGACGTGATGAGGATGATGGAAGTTGTCCTCTTCACCCTCTGAGTACGAGCACCTGCATCCGAGCCGAAAGGGGCGATGGATATGAGCAAGATAGGAGGAAAGATAGGGTGAAGTGGACAACTTCCATCATCCTCATCACGTCTACCTACGGACACTTTGGGGGTGGGTTCGGTCCTTCGGTCCCCCTCCCCCTCACACAGCTGGCCCATAATGTCGCACCGTGGTCGCCTGTCCGAGTGGTCGTTTGCAGTGTGGAGCTGCGGCGTCGGGAGCTGTGTAGTTGTCGATAAATTTGTTGCTGCTTTTTCATGGGGCTTCTAGGTGTTTGCAGTTTTTTGACGATTTTGGTGCCATCGTGGGGGCGTGTTACCCGTGGTATCCCGCTGTGGGGCCGTTCGAGCCGGGGGAAGAGACATCTTATGCGATAGGGGAACCCTCGTGTCGAAGGGTGGCGGGCTTTGAATGCTAACATTGGCTCTGTTATCGTCCTGATGTCCTCTGGCGTTGCGGACACGGGGGAGCGATGAGAAGCGATGAGGGGCGCCTTTGCCGTCGGATGCCGTCCATTTTGCATTGGGGGTGGAGGAGGAGGAGGAGGAGGAGGAGGAGGAAGAGGAGGAGAAGGAGGACAGGAGGACAGGAGGAGGAGGAGGAAGAGGAGGAGGAGGAGGAGGAGGAGGAGGAGGAGGAGGAGGAAGAGGAGGAGGAGGAAATTTGGAGGGAGGGGATGAGGAGCGATGAGGGGCGCCTTTGTCGTCGGATGTCGTCCATTCTGAATGGGGGAGGAGGAGGAGGAGGAGGAGGAGGAGGAGGAGGACGACGAGGAGGAGGAGGAGGAGGAGGAAGAGGAGGAGGAGGAGGAGGAGGAGGAGGAAGGAGGAGGGGGATGAGGAGCGATGAGGAGCGCCTTTGTCGTCGTCGTCGTCGCCGCCGCCGCCCGCCGCCGCCGCCCGTCGGCGTCGTCGTCGTGGAGGGTCGAGGCTCGAGGCTGGAGGCCGAACGTGGGGGAAGAGGACCATCCCGACCCGCGTTTCCCAAGTCGCGTCTGGCTGGAGTCTTGGAGGCGTCCTGGGGGCCTCCTGAGGGTTTTTTGGAGGCCTCCAGAGGGCCTTTTGGAGGCCTCTTGAGGCCTCTTGAGGGCATCTTGGGGGCCTCTTGGGGCCTTTGGGGGCGTCTTGGGGCCTCCCAGGGGCCTCTAAGGGCCGAGAGCTCGAAATTCTGTTTCGTGAACCCCCTCTTGGGGCGTTCTTGAAGCGTTCTTGGGGCCCTCTTGGGCCGTCTTGGAGGCCTCTTGGGCCGTCTTGGAGCCGTCTTGGGCCATCTTGGAGCCCTCTTGGGGGCCTCTTGGGCCCTTTTGGGGCGATCTTGGAGGCCTCTTGAGCCGTTTAGGGGCGTCGGAGGAACCGAAAAGGTTGAAACGCCCAAATCTGTCCAAAACCTATGGAAAGCATTGTTTGTTTGCCTCTTGGGGCCCTCTTGGGAATGCACTTGGAGACCTCCTGGGGATTTTGGAGGCTTCTTGGGTCATCTTGGAGACGTCTTGGGCCGTCTGGAGGCCATCTTGGGCGTCGTGGAGCGATATTCGGGCGTCTCGGACCTCTCTTGGACCGTGTTGGGGGCGTTCTTGGGGCCCTCTTGGGCCGTCCTGGAGGCCTCTGGGGCCGTCTTGGAGCCGTCTTGGGCCGTCTTGGGGCCCTCTTGGGGGCCTCTTGGGCCCTCCTGGGGCGATCTTGGAGGCCTCTTGAGCCGTTTAGGGGCGTCGGGGAACCGAAAAGGTTGAAACGCCCAAATCTGTCCAAAACCAAAGGAAAAAACACAGTCGTTTGCCTCTTGGGGCCCTCTTGGGAGTTCTTTTGGAGGCCTCTTGGGGCATCTTGGAGGCTTCTTGGGCCATCTTGGAGACGTCTTGGGCCGTCTGGAGGCCATCTTGGGCGTCGTGGAGCGATATTCGGGCGTCTCGGACCTCTCTTGGACCGTGTTGGGGGCGTTCTTGGGGCCCTCTTGGGCCGTCTTGGAGGCCTCTGGGGCCGTCTTGAAGCCGTCTTGGGCCGTCTTGGGGCCCTTTTGAGGGCCTCTTGGGCCCTCTTGGGGCGATCTTGGAGGCCTCTTGAGCCGTTTAGGGGCATCGGGGAACCGAAAAGGTTGAAACGTCCAAATCTGTCCAAAACCTAAGAAAAAAGCATTGATTTTTGCCTCTTGGGGCCCTCTTGGGAGTGCTCCTGGAGGCCTCTTGGGGTATCTTGAAGGCTCTTGGGCCGTCTGGAGGCCATCTTGGGCGCTGTTGAGCGATCTTCGGGCGTCTCGGACCTCAGCGCTGATCCTCTTCCCTTTCCTTGTCCTTTCTGATCGGAGCCCGCCAGTTTCCTGGCTGGCCTCCTCTCACACTGTAGTGGTGCAAGCGACCGACAGGGCAGCAGCAGCGAACCGGGATGCCCGGCGAGAAGCCTGACTGTCGAGTTCGCCTGTGTTTTTTTTATCGTGGCACATCGACACGCCTGAACTAGGCACGCAATGTGAGTTCCCTTATTGTGCCTGGCCGTAGATGCCATGCTCTGAACTCGCCGTGAGCGAAGCACTCCAGCTACTCGCTCGCCGATGCCATATAGCCCACCATTCCCGCCTCTTCCACCTGCTTCCCCTCCTCCTCCTCTGGTCTCCTCCTCCTCCTCCTCCTCCTCCTCCTCCTCCTCCTCCCCCTCGGTTTTGGACAACATATGCTGTTGGGCATTGTGCCAATTCTTTCCGTTCCCCTTTCCGGCGTCCGAGTCCTCGCGCCCAGACACGGGCGTTCCGGGCCAGCGGCCCCGCCGGAACCTCTGCTGCCGGCGAGCGGCGGGCCCCGAGCGGTTGGAGACCGGCTGCCGCCGCAGCGTTTTTCCCAACCCTCCTATGGTTGGGTACTCGTTTTGAATAGGGCAGTGTGGTCGCCCCGGCCTCCTCCCCTCCTCCTCTCCTGTTTCCTGTCTTCCCCTCTCCTCTTCTCTCGTGCCGTCGGGCTGCGATCTGCGCAACTGTTGCTACTTTCGTGGGCTCCTGGGAGGCCCAGCGGAGGTGGGTCCCACGCGGATCACCTCGAGACCTCGCGGTGCCCTGGGGGCTGCGATCTGCGCAACTGTCGCCACTTTCGTGGGCTCCTGGGAGGCCCAGCGGAGGTACGTCCCACGCGGATCACCTCGAGACCTCGCGGTGCCCTGGGGGCTGCGATCTGCGCCAACTGTCGCCACATTCGTGGGCTCCTGGGAGGCCCAGCGGAGGTACGTCCCACGCGGATCACCTCGAGACCTCGCGGTGCCCTGGGGGCTGCGATCTGCGCCAACTGTCGCCACTTTCGTGGGCTCCTGGGAGGCCCAGCGGAGGTGGGTCCCACGGGGATCACCTCGACACCTCGCGGTGGCCCGCTCGGAGAAGCTCCGCCATTCTCACAGAAAAAGTCAAGCCTCCGAGCAAACCTAAAAATCTCAGCTTCATGAACAAAAAGACGGCCTCAAACCTTCTTACCCTAACCTTGGTCTTTCAGGAACAAACTAGTGGCCTCAGTCCTCATCTCACCTCTCTCCTCCTTGCTGGCAGCAGGCGGGCGTCCTACTGCAGTTCCTCCAGGAGCCTGGCTGCCTCCCTCTCGAGCGGGCCGCGCGGCGGCGGGCCTACCTTCCTCACGGCCCCCGTGCGGTACAGTGCGGCCAACACTGCGCTCACGAGGGCGGCCCATTCCGTGGCGAAACACGGAGACAGAGGAGGAGGAGGAATAAGAGGAGAAGGAGGAGGAGGAGGAAAAGCAATTGGGGGAGGATGAGGAGGAGGAAGATTTGGAGGAAGAGGAGGAGGAGGAGCAGGAGGAGCAGGAGGACCAGTGTAAACCCAAGGTTGACCAACGATATTGCAGTAACACCTCCCTCTAAGCTCCGTCTTCGTATGCTCCTCCACGGGTTCATGTTCCCTGAGAGGAATTCCCTGTTCGAAGACAATCGTTTGAAAATCCGGAATTGTACCAGAACGTCATTTCTGGGAAATCACCGCCGCGAGTCATCGTTACTGTTGCGTTTTGACGATCCTGAATCGCGCCAGAACGCCGTCCTTGGGAGTTCAACGCCGCGAATCAACGTGACTGTTGAGCCCTGACATTCTGACATCGTGCCAAAACAATCTTTGGAACGTTACTCATGATAATCCTTGAAACTGCTGGAAACTCTCAAGGCGAATGTGCGCGGCGCTAACGCGAGAGCCACATTATGAAAAGGAGCCGCCCTCCATCCATGAAGCTCCTGCGAGATGTGTATATATCTTTACACACAGATATATGTACACGAATGCGCGCGGCGCTCAGGCGACAGCAACATTTTGAAAGCGTGCCGCAATCCTTTCGTGAAGCTTTTGTAACTTTCAAGCTACGCCCGGCCCGCCCACACGGAGGAGTTACCTATAAGGAAAAGGAAGGGAGGAAGAACAGGAGGAGGAGGAAGACGAGGATGAGTGCGAGGGCGGCGACCTGTGGGGACGCCCGAAGGCGTTGCGAGAGAGGAGGAGGAGGAGGAGGAGGACGGGGAGGACGACGAGGAGGAGGAGGAAGAGGAGGAGGAGGAGGAGGTGGAGTTGGAAAAGGAGGAGAAGGAGGAGGAGGAAGTGGAGGAGGAAGAGGAGGAGGGGGAGGAGGCTGAGGAGGAGGAGGAGGAAAAAGAAGAAGAGGAGGGGAAAGAGGACCCCTTGGGGCGCGTCTGCGCGCACGCGCGCGAGAGCGCCATCGGCCCGCGGCCCCCGAGGCCCCTGCAGCGTGGACGGCCTGTGGGTCGAGGGGGAGGACGAGGCCCCGCCGCGGGGGGGGACATCACGCCACCCACTTCCGAATTCAGGAGGGAAGCGGGCTCCACCTTTCCTAGTCCTCCTCCTCTCTTTTTCCTCCTCCTTCTCTTCCTTCCCCTACGACTACTACGACTAGTAGTACCACCGAAGGCCCCAGTGGTTGCTCTCGCATGCGTTTCCCCCCACCCTGGGCAGCGTTTCGTAGCCCCATACGGAGCTCCACCGAAGGCCCCAGTGGTTGCTCTCGCATGCGGTCCCCCCGCCCAGGGCAGCATTTCGTGGCCCCATAGGGAGCTCCACCGAAGGCCCCAGTAGCTGCTCTCGCACGCGGTTCCCCCGCCCAGGGCAGCGTTTCGTGGCCCCATGGGGAGCTCCACCGAAGGCCCCAGTGGCTGCTCTCGCATGCGTTTCCCCCACCCAAGGCAGCGTTTCGTGGCCCCATAAGGAGCCCCATCGAAAGCGGCACCCACAACGCGTTAGGAACAATTTCTTATGGTTGGGTCCTTCGCCGAGATAATTCCTCATCCTTCTCCTCCTCATTCCCCTGCGATTGCTACGACTAGTAGTACTAGTACGATGAGTACTACTACTACTACTACTACTACTACTACTACTACTACTACTACTACTACTACTACGACTACTACGACTACGACGACTATTACTACTACTACTACTACTACGACGACGACGACGACGACGACTACTACTACCACTACTACTACTACTACTACTACTACTACTATTACTACTACTACTACCACTACGACTACCACTGCTACTTTTACTACCTTACTACTACTACTACTACTACTACTACTACTACTACTACTACTATACTACTACTACTGCTACTACGACTACTACTACTACTACTACTGCTGCTACTGCTGCTGCTACTATAGCTATTACTACTACCACTACTACTACTACTACTACTACTGCTACTACTACTACTACTATTACTACTACTACTACCACTACTACTACTACGGCTACTACCACTACTACCACTACTACCACTACTTCCACGACTTACACTACCACCCCTACTACCACCACTACCGCTACCAGTACTACCGCTGCTACTGTGATTGCTGATTATTACGACTACTACTTTTAATGCTACTCCTATTTCAGTACCACTACTACGGCGACGACTACGGCTACTACTACTACTACTACCACTACTACTACTACTACTATTGCTACTACTACTACTACTACTACGGCTACTACGACTACTGCTACTACTGCGGCTACTTCTACCACTACTACTGTCACTACTACTACTACTACTACTACTGCTACTACTACTACGACTACTACTACGACTACTACTACGACGATTACTACCACTACTACTACTACTACTACTACTACTACCACTACCACTACTACTACTACTACTACTACTACTTCTACTACGACTACTCCTACTACGACTACGACGACGACGACTACTACTACTACTACTACCAGCACTACTTCTACTACTACTACAACAACTACTACTACTACTACTACTACGACGACGACTACTACTACTACTACCTCCACTACTACTACTACCACTACTACTACCTACTACTACCTAGTACTACCTACTACTACGACTACTACGGCTACTACTACTACTACTACCACTACTACTACGACTACTATTACTACTACTACTACTACTACTGCTACTACGGTTACTATTACTATTACTACTACTACTACTACCACTACTACTACTACTACCACTATTACTACTACCACTACTACTACTACTACTACTACTACTACTACTACTACTACTACCACTACTACGACTACGACTACGACTACTACTACTACTACTACTACTACTACTACTTACACTACGACTACGACTACTACGACTACGGCTACTACTACTATTACTACTACTGCTACTACGACTACTACTACTACTACTACTACTACGACGACTACCACTACCTCTACTACTACTACTACTACTACTACCACCACTACTACTACTACTACTACTACTACTATTACTACTACTACTACTACTACTGCTGCTGCTGCTGCTGCTAGTATCATGACCACAGCTGGTACTAGTAGTAGTAGTAGTAGTAGTAGTCGTCGTAGTCGTAGTAGTAGTAGGAGTAGTAGTAGTAGTAGCAGTAGTAGTAGTAGTAGTAGTCGTCGTAGTAGTAGTAGTAGAAGTAGTAGTAGTACTACGACTGTTACTACTACTGCTACTACTACTCCTACTACTACTACTACTACTACTACTACTACTTGCGGTCACGTGCACCACATCACCACGGCTTGACCACGTTGGGGCGAGCGTCCTGTGGCTGCCCCATTACCCTACAACGAGACATGCGCCATGTGGGGTACAAAGCAAGGCGGTACGCGCACCGCGGACTGACGAAGCTGCAGTGTGGCAGCCAGGGTGCATCAATACAGACCTGGCCCAAGACAACCGCAGCTCGTGCGGCACGCGTGGCTACCCTAGGACATCCCGACCCCAAAGCGGCAGCCAAGGTGCACCAAGACGAACCTGACCTAAAACAACACAGGACGTGCAGCACGTGGGGCTACCCTGGTACCGCCCGGTCCCTGAAGCTCTGGAGGCACCATGTGGCAAGCGCCTACAGCGAGAAACAGGATGGGGCAAGCCAAAATGGCTGGTCACTTAGTTAAAGTACCGAGGGCAACACGAGCGCGATGCGAAAGGCCCGCAGCCCTCGGGGCGGCCGTAGCACTACAGAGTAGCGCGGGGGCACGCAAGAGAGGCAACGGTAGAGCCTCAGCCTGCCACGAGCTGGTGCGCCATGGCGATTACTAAAGTTGGCGCGGCGCTGAGAGGGCGCACGGTGTTTGAGCAGGCGTTCAGCAACTCACCCATTCGGGCCTTGAGGCCCTGGGACTTCAGAGCCACTTGGTCTTGCCTGGGAGGACCTCGTACGGGGGCGCACGAACCACCCCGCCCCACTGACTGCCCTCCACCGCGGGGCCAAACAGCTCAGACTCGTTGTCTGCCGGTGGGCCCACAGGCGGCGGCGGCGACACCTCCGCGTCGGTCAGCACCGCGGGTGTGGGTGGCGGCGGCGGGCCATTTTCCCTTGCAGCATCCCTCCTCGGGTCCGTCTGCGGCCCGCTAACAGAGGGAGCACTCGGGGCTACCCCTGCGCTCCCCCCGCTAGCAAGGCTGCCGACGGCCAGCTTGTGACGCTGCTCGCAGTTCAGCAAGCGGTCCTAGCCTCGGCGATATTATCGCGCTTCTTTTTGCTGTAGCCCGCCCATGCAGGGTCATTGGGTCTCCATGCCGCCTGCGCATGGAGGTCGCACCAGTTGAAGTCGGGCAGTTCTTCACACGTGAGGTTGTCCATCAGCGCCCAATGCCCCTCCCACTGCTTTTCCCCAGGCGCAAACTTCTTGAACACCGTGCCAAGCGCCAGGGGCTCCACCTCGGGTAGATTCTGTAGCAGGTCCGTGGGACTGAACACCGCGATGTTATCCTTCTTGAGCTTGTCCGCCCGCAGGAGGGTCCTTAGGTCCCTGATGCCTTCCTCGGGGAAGTTGGCCTGCATGGCCGATCATCTCGATGCACGCGCCGTAGATCGTCAGTTGTCGGGCCCCGCAATGGCAGTACCATCGCTGGCCACAGCGGCCTGCCGCTTCTTCCTCAAGGGAGAGGAGCTTTGTCGAACGGTCCGCGCGGATGACGGCCCTGCAGCCTCCAGGGTTATCCCAGGTCTTGTTTGTCTGACACTTGTAGTACATGTTCATCGTGAGCTGATCGTATAAGAAGAACTGGTCAGAGTAGTCGGCCATCTTGCGATAGGCGCCCCGCGCGGCGGCGGCGCCGCCCGCATCCTCCTTGAAGGCCCGCTGGTTGCCCAGGTGCGCGGCCGCGCGGTCGCGCGCCTCTAGCAGGCCCTTCTTGCCCTCCTCGGCCGTGCACGCAGCGTTCCCCGCGTCGATGTCAGCTCTCACCGCGCGGCACCCTTGTGCAGCCGCGCCCAGCTTCTCGTACCAGGTCTCCATGCCCTTCGCGCAGGTCACCGCGCGGATCACGTCGCCTTTTCTTATTGAGGATGGCCCGGAGGGCGCCCTTCATGTGCGTCCGCAGGGTCTCTACTACGACTACGACTACTACTACTACTACTACTACTACTACTACTACTACTACTACTACTACTACTACTACTACTACTACTACTACTACTACTACTACTACTACTACTACTACTACTACTACTACTACTACTACTACTACTACTACTACTACTACTACTACTACTACTACTACTACTACGACTACTACTACTACTACTACTACTACTACTACTACTACTACTACTACTACTACTACTACTACTACTACTACTACTACTACTACTACTACTACTACTACTACTACTACTACTACTACTACTACTACTAGGTACTACTACGACTACTACTACTACTACTACTACTACTACTACTACTACTACTACTACTACGACTATACTACACTACTACTACTACTACTACTACACTACTACTACTATTACTACTACTACTACTACTACTACTACGATTACTGTCACTACTACTACTACTACTACTACTACTACTACTGCTACTGCTAATGCTACCACTACTACGACTACGGCGGCGACCAATCCGACCACTACTTTTGCGATTATTTTTACGTCGACGACCACACTTACTATTGCAACTACTCAGGCTTCTAGTGCTACGACAAATGCTATTACGACCACTACTGCGACGACTACTACTACTACTACTACCACTACTACTACTACTACTACTGCTGCTGCTGCTGCTACTACTACTACTACCACTACTAGTACTACTAGTACTATTACTAGTACTAGTACTACTACTACTACTACTACTACTACTACTACTACTACCACTACTACTACTACTACTACTAGTACTACTAGTACTACTACTACTGCTATTACTACTACTACTACTAATACTACTACTACTACTACTACTACTACTACTACTACTACTACTGCTACTACTACTACTACCACTACTACTACTACTGCTGCTGCTACTACTACTACATTTACTCCGTAGCCACTTTGGCTCAAGGCCATGCATTCCCAGCGGGTGCAAGTCACGTTGTGGCGCTGCGAGCACTCTGGGGGAGTGCTGGCGGAGCCAAAATCCTCTTTCACGATTCAGTGCGATCAAGTCTGCCGCCCCAGTCCTCGCGCGCTATGGCCAGCCATGGGCGCGGAGGCGCCGAGGGAGCAGCGGTTGTGCTCCGCGGGCCCAAGTCACCGCTTTGGCTGTGCTCTTGCGGCTGCGCATCCAACTGGGCCAGCAGGCCCAGGTGCCGAGAGTGCGACAGGCGTTGCTCCACCAAGGTCGAGGACGCCGCCAGGAAGGCTCACAGGGAGGCGCTCAAGGGCGGGCCCAAGCCAGGCAGCCACCCGCAGCCCCGAGGTGCATGGGCGCGGCAGAAGCTGGCCCTTGGGAGCACGACAAGCTCCAGAGGCAGGACAGCGAGCTCGCTGCCCTGCGGCAGCAAGTCGAGGCGCTCAAGGCCGACAGCGCCAAGGCCAAGCTCACTGCACTCAGCGACCTCAAGGAGGAGCTGCAGAAGCTTGGAGGAGGAGAGCAGGCCACGAGCTGCGTCAAGGCCGTCGAGGCCAAGTACTTAGAGCCGCCCAAGCCCAAGAGCCTCCCAGCCTTGGAGGGGCAGCGCAGGAAGCTCGAGGGCCAGCTCCAGAAGGCCCTCGCCAAGGTGGCGGAGCTCGAGGACCAGCGCGGCAAGCTCGACCAGCGGATCTGCGAGGCCAAGGACTCGGCCGCCGAGCTCAAGTGCAAGTTGCAGGCGGCGGACGCCGAGATCGAGTCCCGCCATGCAGCAGGTGTCCTCGGCGACGGGCTCAGGGGCCTGGCCAAGGTGCTGGAGCAGTTCAAGGCTACGGCTGTGGAGAACCAGGCAGTGTTGCAGGGACTCATCCAGCTGCAGGACGTCGTCAAGAAGGAGCAGGAGACCCTGGAGGCGGCTGACGATGCTGCTCCTGGCGATGGCGATGGCGATGGCGCTGCTGACCCAGGCAGCGGGGATCCACACGAGGGTGTCCCTGGCAGTGCAGGGCCAGGGGGGGTGTCTGTCCCCGTCCCGGACGAGCTTGTCGACAGTCTCATGGAGGACGCCCCAGAAGGCGAGAGCGTCGAACAGCGACGCAAGCGCTTCAGCGACATCATCGAGGCCCAGCTCAAGCGGCCTCGGGTTTGATCGCATGTGGCTCTACACTGTGAACGCGAACACCGGGAAGGGCTATCGCGACTTCCTCGACTGGCTAGACGGCCAGCACAGCCTCGCGGAGGCTGGGTCGAAGAGGCTGCCAGTCGCAGACATCACCTTCGCGCAGGAGACGCGCGTGCGTGCTTGCGGCAGGGAGGCAGTCCAGCGCTGGCATCGGAAGCGCGGCTTCGACTTCGACCTTGCCGCAGGACTCAGCACGGGAGACGGGCCCCAGGCAGTCCCAGGCGGGGTAGGCATCGGAGTGCGGCAGCGCTTCGCGGCAGCCACGCTCGACACCGCTTTCAAGCAGCCCCACCGCGTGCTGCGACGGGTAGTCAACATTGGCGACGGGCTCGCCATCGATCTCATGTCCATCTACCTCCGTGACGGGGGGGCATGAGCGAGGCCAACGCAGACATTCTCTGGGAAGTCGCGTCGCAGCTCAGGGTGGCAGTGCGGCCGTGGATCCTGGCTGGCGACTTCGGCATGGACCCCCTCAAGGTCGCGGCGTGGGCGGCGACGGCCGGAGGGCTTGTGCTACATGCAGGCGCGGCGACCTGCAGGGCGGGGGCGCTCAACGAGCTCGACTACGCAGTCATCTCCGACGAGCTTCAGCAGTTCGTGTTCAGCCACGGGCCCGTTGTCGAGCCCCCTTCGGGCCACACAGCCCCGTCCTGTTGGAAGCGCGAGGGCTGCATGCAGAAGCCTTGGTGCAGCAGCCTCATCGCGCAGCGCGGCTGCCGTTCGATCGGGCCATCGGCTGTCTGCCCTGCGCCCCCCTGCCTGCCTGGACTTGGGAGGAGGGCGCGGTCCCCGCCAGCCCGCGAGCTGCCATGCAGGAGTGGCTACGGCACGCTGAGGGCTACCTTCTCCCACTCTACGACCTGCACGGGGACGAGGCTCAGAAGTTCACTGGCAGGGGCGATGGAGCGCGCTTCGTCAACGTGCCGCTCGCGGACGCCAGCCGCCAGCTCGCACGTGACCCGCGCCTGGGGCGGGCTGGTCAGCCTGCTGCAGCGAGCAGACCTGCTGGTGGCGCGTGGGAAGGACCTACAGGGCCTGGCCAGCCTGCGCGCTCGCCTGGCAGCGCTGCGCCTGGGCGACTACGACGGCACCATGGCCCCTGCGCCCAGGGGGGAGCTTGGCGCTGCGGCGACCTCCAGCGACGCGGCTTTGAGGAGGAGGCCCATCGAGCACGCTAGGGCCCAGCAGCAGGCCAGCCAGCGCAGCGACGCAGCTGCCGCCAGGAGGCAGTGGCAGGCCTGGGCCAAAGGCTCGGCCACAGGCGGGGGGGAGCTCGCCCACCGCTTCTCCAAGCCTGAGCCGCTGGCCAAGGCGACCCTCGTCACGGCGGACGAGGGCGAGGGGGGGGCTCTACCAGTCAACGGCGACGAGGCGGTGCGGCATTGCCTCAAGGAGTGGCCTCCGCTCTGGCTGGACCCTCGGCGCAGAGGAGGCCTCGAGGAAGCGGCCAGCTGGGAGGCGCCAGAGCCGCTGCCGAGTCTCGAGGTTGACAGCCTCAGGCACCTGCTCAAGCGGCACGGGAGGTGGGCAGGCCTGGGATGGGACCAGATCCACCCGAGGCAGCTGCTCCTCCTCGACGAGTCCTTCCTGGCCAGGCCCCTCGGCGTGCTGGCCAGCTGGGAGGACGGGCCCGAGGCCTACTTGGACTGGCTCGCTGTCATCGTCTTCCGTGCCAAGGCGGACGGCGGCAGGAGGCCTATCGCTCTCGCCTGCCTTCAGATTCGCCTCTGGTCGGCCCTGCGAGGGCCCCTCGTCAGGGCATGGGAGGCGCGGCGCCACGAGGTATGGTACATCGGCGGGGGGCTGAACACGTGCGAGAGGGCAGGCTGGGTGCATCAGACCCTCGCGGCCCTGGCCTACGAGAAGGCCTTAGCACGGGCACGGCCCTAGGGGACCTACGGAAGTTCTACGAGAATATCAGCCACAAGGAGCTCCTGGTGGAGGCGCAGGCCACGGGCTTCCCTGTCAAGCTCCTCAGGGCATGCTGTGTCTCGTATTCAGGCTACAGAGTCATCGCGGTCGACGGGGCCTGCAGCTCGCCATTTCGGGCAACTGGCACGGTGCTGGCAGGCTGCTCCTGCGCGACTGGGATTGTCAAGCTACTACTCTTCCGATCTTTCAAGAAGGTGGCGGCCTTCTACCCCAGTGTGCGGCTGGGCAGCGTAGTCGACGACTTCACGTTCCAGACTGTGGGCACCACGGGCATGGTGAAGGCAGTTCTTGGCCCCGCCACACGCATGCTGTTGAGCTGCTTCGATGAGAAGCGGGTGTCCGTCCATTTCGGGAAGCTCTGCTACCTCACCCCCGACGCAGAGGTGGCGAAGCAGCTGGAGTCGGAGTGGCCCGCCGAGGACGGCAGTGCGCAGCGCGGCAGGCTGCCAGGCAACGACGTGCACGATGGGCGTTGGAGGCGCACCGCCATCGGGGCACAGCGGGTCGAGGATGATCTTGCAAGGTCTCGGAGGCTGCAGGTGCTGAGGCCAGCTGGGGCCAAGGTGGCCACGGTGCAGAGGGGCGGCCCCGCGGCGGCCGCCACCTGGGGCTCGGCCACTACTGGCCTCGCCCCCATCGGTGCTGCGCGGGCTACGCGTTGCCGCAGCGAGAGGAGAAGGGCCTCTATCGCCAGGTGCTTCGGTCGGCGTGCGGCTGAGGTGCTTCCCCAAAGGCATCGAGAGAGACCCAGCGGTCGTGAACGCTGGCCAGGTAGTGCTGCAGTTCGGCACGGCGCTCTGGCTGGGCTACCCCACTCCCTCCGCACTCAACACGCTGCTGGAGAAGGCCAAGCAGCGGTTCTCGACGGCGAAGCGGCCTTGGGCAACCTGCAGAGACCCCGTGGCAGCCTTCTTTCTCACCATCACCAGGTTTGGCTGGACCATCGAGGGCGACAGGCGCGTCACCACCGACCAAGGGTTGGAGGTCGACCTGGCCAGAGTCTCGCCCTACTTCATCAAGGAGATGGCAGAGGGAGCGGCCAAGAGGTGGTCCGACCGCGACGCCACCTTCAGGCTGCACCCCCACCAGAGCTCGGACCTGCACTGGGGCTCACTGCAGAGGCTCGGCAGGTCCAAGGAGTCGCTCGGCTGGCAGCAACATCAGCGAGCGGCCCCCCACCCGGTCATTTCAGGCACGGTTCTCTCGCAGACGCGGCTCTACAAGAGATGGTTTGCTTCCGAGTGGGACTGCTTCATGTGCAGGGGCGCGCCAGGCACGCTCAGGCTGTGCGGCTGCGATGGTCACGCGGCCTATCGCAAGGACGAGGCCTCACCTGAGCTCCTTCGGCACGCAGAGGTGGCTCGGGCTGCAGGAGGGAACTGCGGCGAGATGTTCGGCAGGTGCCTCTTCCCGTCGCTCGACCACGTGGTCCCGAGGCGTGACCCAGATGGGGACCCAGTTCGGTGGCATCGGCGCCCAGCCTCGGGGTACCTCACGGGCCTCATCTTCACGGACGGCAGCGTTGTGGGCACGCGGTGGCCAGAGTTGCAGCGCGCTGGCTGGTCGCCCGTGCAGTGCGACAGGCATGGGCGCCTGGTGGTTGCTGCGTGGGGTTGGGCGCCCCTCTCCATGGCGCCGCGACAGGAGGCCCGAGATGGCGAGGACTACGCGTACCACATGGCGGCCTTCCTCTGCGAGGGCCACGTCGACTTCCAGACGGACTGCGCTGGGACGGTGGCTTGCGCCCAGAGGGGAGCCACATGGGCATGTCGCCCAGGGTCGGCGAGGGCCCACATGTGGAACGCTTTCTACGCCTCCTTCGACGGCTCGCGCAGCTACACGGTCACCAAGGTGCTGGCCCACGCCTCCGCCGCGGACGTGGAGGCGGACCGCACGACCTGGTGGCAGCGGGCAGGCAACAGGCTCGCAGACGAGGCAGCGAAGGGGGGAGCGAAGCTGGCGCTAGGCGACGACCAGCTGGACTTAGCCTACGGCCTCGACCTCATCGCACGGCAGGCGATGATCTTCACGGGCAAGCTCCACGCGCGCATGGCGGATCGGAAGCTGCTCGACCATGCCAGCGACGTCATCCTGGAGTTCTCGGAGCCCGAGGCGGGCTACGAGGAGCACGAGACCAGCGGGGGCCACGCTGCCGAGGCCGCCTGGTGGGCTGCTGGCGCGGCGGCCGCGGCCCCGGCTGCTGCGAGGGCCTCGGCGGAGGGTGACGAGCCCCCTGCAGCTCGACGGCCTCGACAGCCGTGGTCGATCGGAGGCCGCTCGATCGTCGAGCGAGCCGTCGCGGGGCCAGGCGCGGACGGCACCACCATGGTCCATTGCGTGGAGTGCTTCGCCTACGCCCACCAGCGCATGCAAGGCATCCTCGGGCCGTGTGGCTCGGGGGCAGGCCGTGAGCCACAGATCGATAGGATTCGCAGAGGGCTGTTCCCTAATGTGAAGGGCGGCCGTGGAGCCTGGCGCCTCGGGGAGCAGCTTTTTCCCTCCGAGGCCTGGCGTGCGAAATTCAGCCAGAGGCTTTCGCCCGCCGCCGCCCCCGAGGCCAGCAGGGCCACGGGCAGCGGGCAGCGGGGCCCCGCTCAGCGCCTGCCCCGTTCGCGCGCGCTGTTGCGTTTCGGGGTAGGGCCCGAGCAGGAGGCCGACTTCCTTTCCTGGTCGGCCAGGCAGCGAGCCGATCGGAGGCCCAAGGGAGACCCCGACGAGCTCGAAGGGGAGGCTTCCGACTAAGAGGGTTGGAGGCGCCTCTCTTCTCTTGTGGCGCAGAGGCTCGTACTGTGCAGTGGCCCCTGCAGGCTTGGTGAGGCCCCAACTTAGAGGGTTGGGGGCCCTTTGGCCTCTTGGGGGCTCCGACGAGGTTTCGGGGCCCGCGAGGCTCTGCTCTAGAGCGCCCTGGGCGCCCCGAGCTGGACTGGGCGGCCCTTCAGGTTGGGGGTTGGGTCGGCTCGGCCAACCCCCCACCTGCCGTGTAGCGAGGCGGTGCTACTACATTTACGACCACTACTACTACTACTACTACTACTACTACTACGACTACTACTACTACTACTACTACTACTACTACTACTACTACTACTACCACGACGACTACCACTATTACCACCACTCATATTCTTACTACTACTACTACTACTACTACTGCTACTGCTACTGCTACTGCTATTACTAATATTTCTACTACTAGTATGTCTATTATTACTACCACTACTACTACTACTACTACTACTACTGCTACAACTACTACTACTACTACTACTACTACTACGACTGCTACTACGACTACCACGACGACTACTACTACTACTACTACTTCTACTACTACTACGATTATTACTACTACAACTACTACTACTACTACTACGGCTACTACTACTACTACTACTACTACTACTACTGCTACTACTACGACTACTACTGCTACT